AACAACAACAACAACAACAACAACAGCAACAACAACAACAATAACGACAACAGCAACTTCATCAATAACGACAACAACAACAACAACAACAACAACAACAACAACAGCAGCAGCAGCAACAACAACATCAAGGACAACAACAACAACAACAACAACAACAACAACAACAACAACAACAACAACAGCAACAACATTACAACAACAAATCAGTAGTCTGTACGCACCTGCAACTCATCCATTTGCAGTTCCGTTAGCGTACTTAGGTCTAGGTTAATAGCGTCGAAGGTACAGATGTACAGTTCCTGAGTAACTGCACATACCTCAGCTCGTGGTGCCGAGAGGTTTAGGGAAGACGCATATGTGTTGACACAGATTTCATACTCGCCTGTAGACATGGTCATAACGTTAGAGAAAGGCTGAAATGCAGTCAAAACTGTTTTTGTTTTTTTAATTAAATTTTTGTGTTTTTTGTTAAATGTTTTACGGCGCTCGCAACTGCATAAAGTCATATGAGCGTGCGGGACACACCTAACATTTTCGGTTGGTAGGAAAGTTTGAATTTTGCCCGGGTGGCGGCCGAAGCCTACTGTTATCGATTTTGGACCTCCAAAGGATCTTTAACGTGCACAACTGAAAGTCATTGGCCTACTATATTTACACTCTACTGGAATGGAGCAATAAATCTTGAGAGATGCAAAAAAATTAGAAGATCTGGATCTATACTCTCAAAACAAAATGCGCTTCGGGAAATATCACTCTAGGCACTTCCGCTATGAAGGACAGCTACGCAGATTTGTATCGTTTCTCTGTGGAATAATCACAAAGGCCAAAGAACGATAGGAATTTTTCGTCAAATATATTTTTCTAAATTCAGGAAATGAATAAATCAAAAATGGGGCTCCGTCATGGTGACCTATCTATCTTTCTGCAGGTGCTGACCAACTTTCAACTCTGTAGCTGTCGTAGTTTTATGGGAAAAGTGACACATGTGTTTCCAAGTTGCCAAATACATAATAGATACCGATGGCATCCTCCTCTTCGCGGACATGGGGGCTCTCGTGGTCAAGAGGTTAAGGTGTTCGTCTCTATTTCAGTAAGTCTCGGGTTCGAATCCGGATAGCGGCGGAAAACTTTCTTTTCTAAAATTTTCTTCTTTTACATCCACTCTTTCCTGCTCTCTAAAATGTTCTGTCGTCTGCTTTTGTCCTCGCTTTCTCCC